TATTTTCTGTAAAGGTCCTGTTGATTGATGATAAATTATTAACATATGCTTGGTATATGAACATTTACATATCAACATGGAGTCTATTGGTTAACTTATACTTATTATTTGAACATCCGCATATCAGCTTTGAGTATACATATGTAAAAAACATATACTTTCTTATGGGAGTGTGCGTACAATTTAGTGAGCAAATTGATCATCACAGTCTGGTGAGAGTGATGCACAGAGGAGTGACGAGGGGATCTGGCCAATGCTCATTGCTCAAACTAATCAGACTGCTTCTGGCACTATTGGTACTGGAACTCTGCACTGGCTGCTAAAGATGGGGACAGAGTGCTTATGGGAATGCCTTGAGTGCTGTGATGTCAGTTCTTGAATCAACTCAGTTCAACTCATAACATACACTAGCAAAATGAAACCTGGTGAAAGTGTCACTAGACCTAGGGACATTAATTTGCTAGACAGCTGGTTGTCTCAGTCGGCTCATTAGCTGAGAAAACATGTGAATGGCTGCTCACATCACAGTCGTGGGAAGCAAAGATTGCCTCCTGTCTCAGTGTGTGGTTTTATCAAACACACATTGACTGATGATTTCTTGTTTCTTTAAAATGTACTAACAGTTCACAGAAGATAGAATGATATTGGAACTGGAATGTGGAGATATATCTTGATGCAGGTCAAGAGGACATTTAATCTGTTTTGTGAAACTGGTGTGACCTGTGGATAGATGTTCCTTATTACTACAGGGACCACATTGGTGGTGTTCTATTATAAAATTATTTCTACAGACAGCTATATGTTTTATCATGGGACTTGAACAGTTTGTAATTAACTGTACTTGCATGGATGCAGGTAAGCTGTTGAATATTATGCCTAGTGTAAAGGCAAGTTAAGGAGAAGTTTAATGTGGCTGCTTGTTTTGGATACTAGCTTTTTGGAGATGATGCAGACAAAATATCAAAATAGCTAACCAAAAAAACAAACAAATCAGTCGGCTCTATATAACACAGGCCTTGAGATTGGCTGGCGAGTATTCGTACCAGCCAGTCAGATTGCTTCTCACATTTCTTGCACAAGGGCTATTCAGTGACAGACTGAGAATTTTGATGTGTTCTGTAATTTTACATCCATTTGTTTGTGGCATTACCTGTGCCCAACAATGGCAGAAAGGACTGTTGCGTCATAGCAACTGAAATATAGCAGGTGTCAGGAAAAGGAGAAGAACCATGTGCCGAAAGTGTCTGAAGGGCTTTCATGGGCCTTTTTTCCCAAAACACAGATGTTAGGACTTATTCTGGCTTCATCCGTAAAAAATTAACCCATATTTTTCAGGTTAGTCATGTTTGTTCCTAAGTTTGAAAAAAAAATCCTTGCATAAATTACGCAAATCATAAAAATTAATTTGAATTATCTCATTCAATTTCCTACACAAATATATATATTTTTTTATAAGGGAATTAAACGTTTATTTTTTGAAATAATCTGTGTGTGTGTGTGTAAGCTAAGAGAATCCCCTCCTAAAGGTTCTGTCTTTTTGGCACTGAAACTCCAAAAATGCTCAGTCACCAAAGGGCTGTAGTTTCTCTCATCACCTCAGTGGGTAATTGTGTTGATGAAATAAATAAATAGGTAGCTAGTTTGATTCCATACAGACTACTGGGGTGTCTCTTGTACATTCTTGTATCACCTGCATGGCTTATTCTGTATGTGTTCAAGCTTCACCAACTGACTTTTAGATACAGTGAACAGTCTCAGTCTATAATCTATTACTGAGATGATCAAGTGCTGGTATCTTGTGAACAGCATTTTGTGCTCTATGTCCATTGCTGCCATAATCTTTAGTGCATTGAACTCCCTTTGGCATTTTGCAGCAACTGCCTCGACCTGGCTCCTGAATGACAGTCTTCTATCAAATATGATACCCAGAAACCTCAGCCTTCAATCTCTCTTGATGTTTCTGTCATTGATTTTGAGACATTGGCTCTGACAGTCCTATCTTTTTACTGTTGCATACCCAAACCAACGTCATCATTTTATTGTGTGATATACCAGTTTCTGTTTTGTCATGTCATATTATCGTAATCAACGTCCATGCACATAGGCATTTCCATACATGCTCAGTCATCTGATGCAGCAGCAGCCCAGTTTCCATTATGTGCTCAGTTTATTTAATGTTTTTATTTTTTATTTTTAAATATTACATCTAAATCTGTTCATGTGTTTCAATGTTGTTATTAAATTCTCAATTATTTTAATTGCAGGTATGAGTATGTCAGGTCACCTACAGATAACTCAGTCTTAAACAATCAGAAATGGATGTTTGAAGTCTAATCACCGTTTTAGTAACCTTCACTGAAATTGTATTGGATATCATATTACTTCAAAATGGATTACATTCGTGCCTTTGATGTAGAGTTGGATCGACTGGTGTATTATGCTGGAGAAATGCTCACTGGAAATGTTTATCTGGAGGTAGAAGAGAACATGCGAATGCAAAGTAAGTAGCATAACCAGAAGTAGATAAAGTGGTTAATAAGTGCAGAATTAAAGAGGGTCAGGTGCTTGTAAATAAGAAATTACTCTTAAATACTCCTAGCCTGCTTTGTGTGGTTTATATGAATTAATATAGATAGTCTCCTATCTAATTTGTATCTTTTATATGAACTGGTGTTTATTTTTCTGGACACATCCCACCATGCATTAGATATTATGCTACCATCTGTTGAAACTGCCTTCCACTTTCTATCTTCTGAAGACATATCCGCAACCATTGTCTTTTGATATACTGTCTCAGAGTGCTGCAGCGCTTCCATTGTGAGTTCATTCCTCTAGCCCTTTGCTAATCTTCCACATCAGCAGTGTTAGCTTCCAAGTCCAATCCTTTTCCCCAGAGACACTATATAATTGATAAGAGCAACAGACTCGACTTGCACCAACAACTGTGGTGGAGTTATGAGGTAGAGTCAGCGTGGGAACTTAAAAGACATGCTATAAAGATTTGGCAGAAAGCAATGAAAACCACTGACTCTACTCCAGACCGACTTTACTGACTCTACTCCAGACCTACATTCCTTACGGGAATGAAACAGGCAATGCAGACCACCACAGCAGCCTTTAATGCAGTTGCCCAGCTAGCCAACAACACAAACTTGGAAATCTTTTGCAATAAAGTGTGCAATGAGAAATCTCTTGCCAAATTCTGGTCCATACACTAGGCCATGACAGGTGCTTCCAGATGCTGGGGCATTAGAGACTTCTGTAATGAAGACCAGACATTAAACAGGTCTGATGAAGACAAAGGTAGAGCACTCCTTGACAAATACTTTAAGCAGACCTGAACACAGGGCACTGCCACTGTCAGACTACCATGGATATGCTCGCTGCAACATGTTCACATACAATCGTTAAAGATGATCAGCTAATTACAGTCGTTGAAATTAAGAACATCATCAAAACATTAAAGAAGTCTGCTCCTGGCCCTGATGGCATTCATTATGAAGACATTGTTAAGCTGCCCACAAAATCCATGGAGGACCCGTGTAAAGACTACAATGAAAGCGTCTGTAATGGTACCATCTCTGAAAGCTGGCTGCATAGCTATTTGATTCCGCTAGAAAAACGTGAAAAAGATGCCACAATAAAAATGGTTATAGAATCATTACGATGCAGAACACACTAGGCAAAACAGTGGATAGATAATAGCCAGAAGACTGGCAAGCCAGCTTTAAATGCATCACTTCACTTCTCCCCCCCCCCCCCCCCCCCCCCCCCCCCCCCCCACTCTTCCGGACACTTGAAGGATAAATAAAACATGGAGACGTGGCGTAATGCTGCTGTCTTTGAACATGATATATGAAGGGTTTCAAGTTGGCTTTGAAACATGTGCCGTCGCCATAGGTCTCTAGGATGCATACAAAAAAGTTCCTTTCCACTAACTAATGTGTGAGTTAATGGGACTAAGCATTCCCCTTCCCCCCATCTCATTTAATAGATATCTGTCGAACTTTTCCAGAGGAGGTAAGTGCTTCGATGTGGTAGCTGGTCTTATGAGCCAATAACAATACACCCAGGTGTGCCACAGGGCTCTCCATTGTCTCCAATCCTCTTCAGCATCTGTACAGTCAAGATCACAGGAGAACAACAACTGAGTGGCAGAGGAAGAACTTTGTTTTATGCGGATGACATCCTCGTGTACCGACATGGCAGGAACAGAAGGAACATTGTTTTAGATCTACAACAGGAACAAGACTGCATGTCATCCTGATGCACCGCATATCAACCTGATGCACCGCATATCATTCTGATGCACCGCACATAATCCTGATGCACCGCATATCATTCTGATGCACCGCATATCAACCTGATGCACCGCACATAATCTTGATGCACCGCATATCATTCTGATGCACCGCATATCAACCTGATGCACCGCATATCATACTGATGCACCGCATATCATACTGATGCACCGCACATAATCCTGATGCACCGCATATCATTCTGATGCACCGCATATCAACCTGATGCACCGCATATCATTCTGATGCACCGCATATAATCCTGATGCACAGCATACCATTCTGAGGCACCGCATATAATCCTGATGCACTGCATATCATTCTGATGCACTGCATATCATCCTGATGCACCTCATATCATCCTGATGCACCTCATATCATCCTGAGGCACCACCTCAGGGGCAACAACTAATCCATTAAAAGCGACAGTCACATGGTTCTCATTAAAAAATCACCTTTCAAAAATGCCAATGCCGATGGTAAACCTCTGTGGCGCTGACGTGGAGAGTTATGATTTTATGAAGTACCTGGGTATAACATTTGACAGATGCTTAGCATTTAAAAAACACAAAGACCAAATTATAACCAAAGCCAAGAAAGGTCACTCCACAATAAAAGTTATGGCAGCTGCAAACTTTGAACAACAGCTACTTGTAATGTTATATCATGGGTTAGTATTGGCCATCTTGACACTCAGACCACATAGATGAACAGATTGGAAAAAACTGAAAATGAGGAAATGCGTATTATTCTTGGATGCACTAGAGACACCCTCTGTATATCCATGTCATACCTCTTGGATTTTCCCACAAAGGAAAACAGAATCAAGCTATCCAGGACCGTTGCTTTCCTAAAAGTCAGGCCCTTGACACCCTTCATGAAGAATTATTCAGGTAAACAAAGGATACAGACTTAAAAAGATGCATATCCTGTATGGGTCGCACTGAGGATACCATGGAACATTTTGTTGCCTTGCTGACATTAATTTTAGAATTGAATGAATACCCGTACCAGCTTCTCCAAACATTAACATTACAGTCCACATCACACTTGATGAAAGCTGTAGAGAGCAGCTTCCTGGCATTGTGGACACTTTAGTCAGAATACTGATTGACAAAAACAAAGTTGAAGGTTGTTGTGTGTCACTTGTTTAAATATTGAGAGAAAGAGAGCCAGAATGATAATTGAATGAGTGGGATTGGAACATGAACGTATGAATATTAATGTCTCAATTATCTCATGATTAATAACTAGAATGAATATTAAATGAAGGGGTAGAATCTCAGAATATTAGCTGAGACTCGGGGAAGGTCGCAGTACTTGTAGTTACAGAGAACTGTGTAGCGTTTGTGCGCCGTCCAGTGTGGCAAAACATGCATGTAGTGAACGGGTATGTATGGGAATTAAATAATGGCTGAGAGAAAGATTTGATTAGTTAGAACTGCTGGCATTGTTGTGTGCAGACAGATGCAAGTTATTATCTCCAAGTTGTGTAGACTGATGGACAGTTCGGACTTTGTGCCAGTTTGTTTTGCTGATGTGATCAGTGAGTCCTGCTTGCGTCGTTGTTTATAACATCGCAAGTTAGCAGCTCCAGGTTGTGGAGATTAATAGGGCTATTGGGACTTCATGTCAGCTTATCCTTCAGAGATATTCCACTCCTGTACTAACCTTCCCATGATGGGACTGTTTACCTAATGTGAGCAGGGACTTGTTACAATCTATTGGTAACTATTGCTTGAGTATTCTATTGTGCTACTGAGAGTGACAAGTGATTGTTTACTTTTTCTTCATCATCATTTTGTTTTTGTATGGCGTGAAAAATAAAGTATGTTACTGATGTTCCAGTGGTCTTTCTAGGATGTGAATCAAGTGCGCCTCAAGTTGTCATGAATCCCTAGACCAGTGATTCCCAAACTATGTGCCGCGGTGCCCCGGAGAGTTGAGACCTCTTCACAGGGGAGTCGCGAAATATTGTAAAAGCTTCATAATTAATTTAACTAAGACACGAATAGTCATATTTTTACTTAGGTTAAGGCGCCGTGAAAAAATTTAATCGAAAAAAAGGCGCCGTGACCAAGAAAGGTTTGGGAAACACTGCTCTAGACACTTGTTTAGTGGTCAAACAGTCACCTAAATCACAATACAGGAAATGCTATAGTTTTACACAGACAGATCAGTAATTCAAGCAAGCGAAGTGCATTGGCATTCACAGTAAGCTCAAGGGGAAAACCAATAAGGAAATTAATGTTGCCTTTGCTTGTTACAAGTAGAAGCCTTACAATGGAAACTATGGCTGTAACAAGGGCATTAGCATGGTTTGGTACTCAAGAGTTCATGCACGCATGCATAGTTAGTGACTTACAAAATTCCAGGCTAGTTTCATCAGACAAGAATGGATTGCAACTAAGCACTTGGCAAATGGCTGTCCTAACCTTCATCTTTGTGCAAGGTCATGCGGATGTTCAATGGAAGAGCATGCAGATCATCTTGCAGACACTGCGGTTGCTATGGGTGATCCAGTATTGGACAGAAGCGATGTTATCAATGCCATGCACAGCACTTACTGTTATGATGAGCATGCTAAAGGGCATGGCTTCATATCCCTGTCTAGGCTGATGGACATGGGAGTGCCGCCTGGAGCTGCGAGAAATGAACATTTCACTAAGGGGACAAGACATTTCAATCTGTGATGTGATGATAATTCTTCCTAATCAGAAATCGACACCAACTTTGAAGCCCTCAGTGTCTCTGTTCTGTGATTACACAATTTCCTCAGGCCAAGTTTCTGGTCATGCCAGCCACATGCATTGAGGCTTTGACAAAGATGCTTAAATAATGGACAATTTTGAAGTAACAATTTCTGAATTCTCCGAATGTGCATTTGATGTAAAAAACACTTTTGAAAATTTCTTAAAGTTTAAAAACATTTGCCAGATCATAGGCTGAGCTAGAATTCATATTTGATAACATAAACTTCACAGTGATACAATCAAACTCTTTCATCAAATTGTCCTCCAATCCTGGATAGTTAGTAGAAATATTATCTATCACAAGAAGGCATTTTATTGGCAAAAGTTTCCAGAAAGTATTTTCCTAGACCTGGGGCAAAGACTTCATGGATCCACTCAATAAAAAGAAAATTACCCAAGCCTTACAATTAGACCTCCACATAACAGACAATTTACTTGTCACCATG